AGTGAGAAGCAACAAAGAAATTCATAATCTGTTTAAATCACCACTGATCACTGGCATCCTGAGAGCTCATAGACTGAAATGGTTGGGACGTATTGAAAGAATGTCAGATGACAGAGAAGTAAAAACTGTATACACAAGAGAGATGAATGGTTGTAGACGAGGAGGCATTCCAAAAAGACAATGGAGAGATAATATCCAGACAGACCTGCAAATACTTGGTGTCATCAGCTGGAAAGAGAAGGCCAAACAGAGAGATGAATGGAGGCAGTGATATCTGCAGCAATGAACCTCAAAGACTCGGAATGCTGAAGAAGAAGAAGAATGAACGAACGAACAAACTTTATTTTCAAAGGGTTACAAATTGGGCTCGCAGGCCCATCTGAAATTCGACCCTTCTAAGCACTCATTTTTCAGAGTACCAAAGCCTGTTATCTAAAATGCATGTTATGGATACAATAAAGAAAAATAACATCATGTGTACACATTCTTACACACTCACACACAGGTATATCTGCTCTTACCTTTTCATACATGCACACTCATTTACTGACACACTTAATACAAACATACATACATACATACATACATACATAAATACATACATACATACATACACAAACAGAACATACATACATACATACATGCATCTACATACATACACAAACAGAAAAGACACACATATACATATATGGACATAAATGCACACACACATTCCATACATACACACCTACACATGCATGCATGCATACACGCACATATAAACACATGTACAGACACCCAGATATGCCCACAACCATACATTTACACTCACATGCATGTATTCATGCATACACACACATACATGCATACATACATCTATACATACACCTACATCTTTACACACATACATACATACTTGCATTCATACCTGAATACACACACATACACCCACATACTTACACAGCTACAAATGCATACATATTTCCACTAACATGCATACATACAAACATACATGCATTCTTACACCCACATACATGCCCACACACATTACATACATACACACACATACAATCACCCATACAGATACCCACATACATACACACAACCATGCATACCTGCATACATACTTGCATACATTATATTCACACACACCCACATCACACATACACTCATATACAATCATACATACTTACAATATACATACATAAATACACACACATACTTACAAACCTAATTATACATTCATATTTTCACAAGCATACACACACATCCACAATCACACACACAAACCCAGACAATACATACATACATACATACTTATACCCACATGCATACACACACACCCAGGTAATACATATATACATACTTATACCCACATGCATACACACACACCCACAATGACACATACACCCAGATAATACATACATACATACTTATACCTACAGGTTTTCAAACATGGTGGAAAGTGGTGGTGGAGGGGTCCAAACAATTTTGAAACTAAGTGCAGTTGTACGTGTAGTAATCCGTTATACTAGCTTTTGTTTTCTTCAGTTGAATTAGACATTAATAAAGAATTTTGTTTTCAAAAACATTAAAAAAAACAGAAAACTAATGACATTTGATGAACTTGATGTGGTAAGATCTCTGTTGTGACTACAATCAGTAGATATCATCAAGGAAAACTAGTGTCAGCTGTCACACAGGTATTTGGACACTCAACTGCCAGTTGTTGGAGATTATTTCCTTGATGCTATTTGATACCTTGTGGATTTTTTCAACAAGTTCTTGGTATTATTGCTTTAAAGTTTCATTTTTGCCCTCCTCGTTTTAAGCACTTTTGTAAAAAGGGGGGGGGGGGGGAGGGGAAGGGGTTAGGTTCACATTAATCTCCCCAGACAAAGTAGGTAACTTTTAATTCAAAAGTTCATTGGGCTAGTCGACTCTCCTGAAGGTTACAGGTGTGTCCCGCTCTGATGTTTGCTTTCTGCATTGTCTTGCATTTATGTTTTCATTCCGAGAAACATTCAGAACATTCATTCAGCACAGGTGTGCTTCGTGCAGAGTGGCAAGCTTAGCTGCGGAGGACACGAGTGAGGAGTATTGTCTGGATTCGTTCACCAGGTTACGCCGGTGTTTGGGAAATGAACAGGCGGACAGACTGGCTGGCTCTGCACAACTTGGTGGGATACTGCTACATGATAGGGCAGACATGGTTAGTGCCTTGTGGGAGAGCGTGTACAATTCGGAGGAGCAGATGGATCACCACAGTTTGGTAAGATTGATGCAGTTGGGGGTGAGGAGAGGTTCTGACAGAAGCTCGAGGCTCAGAGGAAAGGCAAGACGGACGTTTAATCAGAAAGCTTCTGGCATCATTAGTATCAGAACTCTTCGCTGGCTGCTGAAGATGGGGATGGAGCCCTTATGGGAATGCCCCGAGTGCTATGATGTCGGTTCTTGAATCAAATCAAATCAAATCATTCCGAGAAAGAGAATGCCTGTGACATAGGTTGCAGCACTCTCCATGGGGGTTGTGTTAGGGTCAGTTTCTCCATGCTTTTGGAGTGTTAAAAGTGCTGGCGTGCTGAAATATACAACAAGCGACATCAACAGCATTGCGGAACACCCCTCTGACCTTACGTGAAGGTCATAGGGCTCAGTAAACACTAATCAGAAGTGAGCGTGTGTTTATATGGGCGGGGCCTGGGGAGACGAATGTTACGTGTTCTGGGGAGGGGTATGGTGGGGTGGGGGGGGGGGGGGGGGTCTTGCCATACATTAGGGGGAGGGGGTGGGGAGGCTATATATATATATTTTTTTTAAGGCTGAAAACTGCTGGTCTTTGGTACAGAAAAAGGTAATAAATGAGTGTTATAGTTCAGAAACGGTGAAACAAAAACAGAAACCCACTTGTCTTTACTGCCGATGCCATTCTGTTCTCCTCCCACTTCAGCCAACTGATGCATCAAAAGCTGCATCTTCTCTTCATATTCTCTCTGTTGCTGTGTCAGTTTTCTGTCCAGCTCTAGGGCAGAGCGTTGCAGTGCTCCTTCTAGCTCTCTGATCAGTCTTTCTTGCTCATCTGTCTTCACCTATGGGAAAGGCAGGAGGTATATAAAAAGTGAGTTGCCTGTCCTGACAGGATGTAGCAGAGCCAACTCCAGCATTTGTTAGTGGCTATTTTGTTGTTGTTGTGTGGTTAGGTTAATTTTATGTTCAGTAGTTTGCCACTGTTTTTTGAAAGGTCAGCTCGGCACCACTGTTGAAACCATGAAACCAATGCAAGACCAGTCCTCCACAGCTAGGATCGAACCCAACATCCCAGCGCTGCGAAGTGCGTTTGCAACGCCTAAGCCACAGACACCAATATGAGGTAGATACTATTGTTATTCCACACAGTAAGAAACACAAGAGAAGAGCAACCAAGAGGTTTTTAAAGACGCGGAAGCCCAAGGACAATTTATAAAAGACATCAGAAGGAGACATCATTTTTCGGCCATGTTAAGAGAAGAGGGAAAATGGAACATGTTGTGACCACTGGAAAGATCTGTGAAAGGAGAGATAGAGAGAAAGACAACAAGAGAAGATTTTTGACAGTCTTGTTGCATGGCATGGAGGTGTGTCAGCATATGAACTGATACATGCGGCAGGAGATCGCAGACTGTGGAGAGGCATGATCGCCTATGCCAGTCAGCAAGGCACCTGATGATGATGAAGGTAGAACAGAACTACAGGGTCTTCCCAGCTTACAACCTAGTACCATTCCAACTAACAGTTCATAGGTCAAACTGGTCATACGTCCAATCATATTTTTCAACACTATTGCATTTCCAGACAGTAAGCCATTCGCAGCTGAGTTAACTGCTATGCTCCAGGAACTTATTGACCTACCAATTTAGTTATCTTTCTTTAATTACTATTTCTGGTGGTTGTAAGTGCGGATGGTCATACATAGCATACGTCATTAGTCAAGGAGAAGGTGTATATGCTTGCCCACTGGTTTAAAAGACATGGATTCAAATCCTCTCAAGGCAGATTGATTATAACTGACAATATAAAATGGGCACTCAGAAATGCCCTGAGAAGTAAAAGTGGCCAGTGTGCTATACAGCACATCTGCCATCTACATATACTTGTGGCACAATATTCCCCAGGCAGCAAACATGTGAACAAAGTCATTTAATAACTTCCACACAGTGCATAACAATTAATATGAGAAACATGCAGCATATTAATATGAGAATGGGGGCAGATGAGGAAAAGACAGTGGCAGATGTAGAAATACAGTGGCAGAGTGGGGGAATACAGTGGCAGATTGGGGAGGGGGAATACAGTGTGACAAATGAGGGAATACAGTGGTAAATTGTGGGGAATACAGTGGCAGATGGGGGGGGGGGGAAATTAAGTGGTAGTTGGGGGAATACGGTAGCAGATAGGGGTGGGGGCATTCAGTAGCAGAGTGGGAAAAAGACAGTGGCAGATGGGAAAAAGACAGTGGCAGAGTAGGAAAAAGACAGTGGCAGAGTAGGAAAAAGACAGTGGCAGAGTAGGAAAAAGACAGTGGCAGAGTGGGAAAAAGACAGTGGCAGATGGGAAAAAGACAGTGGCAGAGTAGGAAAAAGACAGTGGCAGAGTGGGAAAAAGACAGTGGCAGATGGGAAAAAGACAGTGGCAGAGTAGGAAAAAGACAGTGGCAGAGTGGGAAAAAGACAGTGGCAGATGGGAAAAAGACAGTGGCAGATGGGAAAAAGACAGTGGCAGATGGGAAAAAGACAGTGGCAGAGTAGGAAAAAGACAGTGGCAGAGTAGGAAAAAGACAGTGGCAGAGTGGGAAAAAGACAGTGGCAGATGGGAAAAAGACAGTGGCAGAGTGGGAAAAAGACAGTGGCAGAGTAGGAAAAAGACAGTGGCAGAGTAGGAAAAAGACAGTGGCAGATGGGAAAAAGACAGTGGCAGAGTGGGAAAAAGACAGTGGCAGAGTGGGAAAAAGACAGTGGCAGAGTAGGAAAAAGACAGTGGCAGAGTAGGAAAAAGACAGTGGCAGAGTAGGAAAAAGACAGTGGCAGAGTAGGAAAAAGACAGTGGCAGAGTAGGAAAAAGACAGTGGCAGAGTAGGAAAAAGACAGTGGCAGAGTAGGAAAAAGACAGTGGCAGAGTAGGAAAAAGACAGTGGCAGAGTAGGAAAAAGACAGTGGCAGAGTAGGAAAAAGACAGTGGCAGATGGGAAAAAGACAGTGGCAGAGTGGGAAAAAGACAGTGGCAGAGTAGGAAAAAGACAGTGGCAGAGTAGGAAAAAGACAGTGGCAGATGGGAAAAAGACAGTGGCAGAGTAGGAAAAAGACAGTGGCAGAGTAGGAAAAAGACAGTGGCAGAGTAGGAAAAAGACAGTGGCAGAGTAGGAAAAAGACAGTGGCAGATGGGAAAAAGACAGTGGCAGAGTAGGAAAAAGACAGTGGCAGAGTAGGAAAAAGACAGTGGCAGAGTAGGAAAAAGACAGTGGCAGAGTAGGAAAAAGACAGTGGCAGAGTAGGAAAAAGACAGTGGCAGATGGGAAAAAGACAGTGGCAGAGTGGGAAAAAGACAGTGGCAGAGTGGGAAAAAGACAGTGGCAGAGTAGGAAAAAGACAGTGGCAGAGTAGGAAAAAGACAGTGGCAGAGTAGGAAAAAGACAGTGGCAGAGTAGGAAAAAGACAGTGGCAGAGTAGGAAAAAGACAGTGGCAGAGTAGGAAAAAGACAGTGGCAGAGTAGGAAAAAGACAGTGGCAGAGTAGGAAAAAGACAGTGGCAGAGTGGGAAAAAGACAGTGGCAGAGTAGGAAAAAGACAGTGGCAGATGGGAAAAAGACAGTGGCAGATGGGAAAAAGACAGTGGCAGATGGGAAAAAGACAGTGGCAGAGTAGGAAAAAGACAGTGGCAGAGTAGGAAAAAGACAGTGGCAGAGTAGGAAAAAGACAGTGGCAGAGTAGGAAAAAGACAGTGGCAGATGGGAAAAAGACAGTGGCAGAGTAGGAAAAAGACAGTGGCAGAGTAGGAAAAAGACAGTGGCAGATGGGAAAAAGACAGTGGCAGAGTAGGAAAAAGACAGTGGCAGATGGGAAAAAGACAGTGGCAGAGTAAGAAAAAGACAGTGGCAGATGGGAAAAAGACAGTGGCAGATGGGAAAAAGACAGTGGCAGAGTGGGAAAAAGACAGTGGCAGATGGGAAAAAGACAGTGGCAGAGTAGGAAAAAGACAGTGGCAGATGGGAAAAAGACAGTGGCAGAGTAGGAAAAAGACAGTGGCAGAGTAAGAAAAAGACAGTGGCAGATGGGAAAAAGACAGTGGCAGATGGGAAAAAGACAGTGGCAGAGTGGGAAAAAGACAGTGGCAGATGGGAAAAAGACAGTGGCAGAGTAGGAAAAAGACAGTGGCAGATGGGAAAAAGACAGTGGCAGAGTGGGAAAAAGACAGTGGCAGATGGGAAAAAGACAGTGGCAGAGTAGGAAAAAGACAGTGGCAGATGGGAAAAAGACAGTGGCAGAGTAGGAAAAAGACAGTGGCAGAGTAGGAAAAAGACAGTGGCAGAGTGGGAAAAAGACAGTGGCAGATGGGAAAAAGACAGTGGCAGAGTAGGAAAAAGACAGTGGCAGAGTAGGAAAAAGACAGTGGCAGAGTGGGAAAAAGACAGTGGCAGATGGGAAAAAGACAGTGGCAGAGTAGGAAAAAGACAGTGGCAGATGGGAAAAAGACAGTGGCAGAGTAGGAAAAAGACAGTGGCAGATGGGAAAAAGACAGTGGCAGAGTAGGAAAAAGACAGTGGCAGATGGGAAAAAGACAGTGGCAGAGTAAGAAAAAGACAGTGGCAGAGTAGGAAAAAGACAGTGGCAGATGGGAAAAAGACAGTGGCAGAGCAGGAAAAAGACAGTGGCAGATGGGAAAAAGACAGTGGCAGAGTAGGAAAAAGACAGTGGCAGATGGGAAAAAGACAGTGGCAGAGTAAGAAAAAGACAGTGGCAGAGTAGGAAAAAGACAGTGGCAGAGTAGGAAAAAGACAGTGGCAGATGGGAAAAAGACAGTGGCAGATGGGAAAAAGACAGTGGCAGATGGGAAAAAGACAGTGGCAGAGTAGGAAAAAGACAGTGGCAGAGTAGGAAAAAGACAGTGGCAGAGTAGGAAAAAGACAGTGGCAGATGGGAAAAAGACAGTGGCAGATGGGAAAAAGACAGTGGCAGATAGGGGAGAATACAGCGGCAGATAGGGGAAGGGGAATACAGTGTGACAAATGAGGGAATACAGTGGTAAATTATAGGGAATTCAGTGGCAGGTGGGGGGGGGGGGGAATTAAGTGGTAGTTGGGGGAAATACGGTAGCAGATAGGGGGTGGAAGCATTCAGTGGCAGATGGGGAAAAGACAGTGGCAGATGGGAAAAAGACAATTGCAGAGTGGGGAAAAAACAGTGGCAGATGGGAAAAAGACAATAGCAGAGTGGGGAAAAAACAGTGGCAGATGGGAAAAAGACAATAGCAGAGTGGGGAAAAAACAGTGGCAGATGGGAAAAAGACAGTGGCAGATGGGAAAAAGACAATAGCAGAGTGGGGAAAAAACAGTGGCAGGTGGGAAAAAGACAGTGGCAGATGGGAAAAAGACAATTGCAGAGTGGGGAAAAAACAGTGGCAGATGGGAAAAAGACAATAGCAGAGTGGGGAAAAAACAGTGGCAGATGGGAAAAAGACAATAGCAGAGTGGGGAAAAAACAGTGGCAGATGGGAAAAAGACAGTGGCAGAGTGGGGAAAAAACAGTGGCAGATGGGAAAAAGACAATAGCAGAGTGGGGAAAAAACAGTGGCAGATGGGAAAAAGACAATAGCAGAGTGGGGAAAAAACAGTGGCAGATGGGAAAAAGACAATAGCAGAGTGGGGAAAAAACAGTGGCAGATGGGAAAAAGACAATAGCAGAGTGGGGAAAAAACAGTGGCAGATGGGAAAAAGACAATAGCAGAGTGGGGAAAAAACAGTGGCAGGTGGGAAAAAGACAGTGGCAGATGGGAAAAAGACAATAGCAGAGTGGGGAAAAAACAGTGGCAGATGGGAAAAAGACAGTGGCAGATGGGAAAAAGACAATAGCAGAGTGGGGAAAAAACAGTGGCAGATGGGAAAAAGACAATAGCAGAGTGGGGAAAAAACAGTGGCAGGTGGGAAAAAGACAATAGCAGAGTGGGGAAAAAACAGTGGCAGGTGGGAAAAAGACAATAGCAGAGTGGGTAAAAAACAGTGGCAGGTGGGAAAAAGACAGTGGCAGAGTGGGAGAAAGACAGTGGCAGATGGGAAAAAGACAGTGGCAGATGAGGGAGAATACAGCAGCTGATGGGGGAGAATATAGCAGCTGATGGGGGAGAATACAGCAGCTGATGGGGGAGAATGCAGCAGCTGATGGGGGAGAATACAGCAGCTGATGGGGAGAATACAGCAGCAGATAGGGAAAGGGGGAATACAGTGTGATAGATGAGGGAATACAGTGGTAAATTGTGGGTATACAGTGGCAGATAGGGGGTGGGAAATACAGTGGTAGTTGGGGGAATACAGTAGCAGATGGAGGGTGGTAGCATTCAGTGGCAGATGGGGGAAAACCTTGACACATGGGGGGAATACATTGACAGATGGAAAGAACACAGACGCAAATGGGAAGAAAACATATAGTGATTTGAAAAAGAACCCACTTCCATTTCACTACACTTGAGGCTGAGTTTCCTTCCTTCATCTCTCAGGCCCACCACTTTGTCAAAGTAGCGAGACAGCAGTGCCCTGATTTCTGAGGTGCTGAGAGAGTTCAGTCTTTGCAGCAAGTTTTCCTCACTCTGAAATACATGAAATAAATATCTTCAAGATATAAATATCTTTACCATATACACATTTATATTATATAATTATATTTATAATATATATGTTTTTATAATTACATATCTTCTTATTTTTATATAAATTTCTTTATGACAATGTTAATGATATAAATATCTTTATCACATACATATCTTTATTATATAAATATATTTATAATATAAATGTTTTTATGATTACATATCTTATTATTAATAATATCCACGTGATATAAATATATTTATCATATAAAGGTCTTTATGATATAGATATCCTTATGATATAAATATCTTACGATGCACATATCTTTATTTTATAAATATATTTATTAAATAAACATCTTCATGATTAAATATCTTATTACTATAAATGTGTGTATGATATAAATGTCTTTACTGTACAAATAATAATAATAATAATAATAATAATAATAAATGACAGTAACCATGCCACTTTATTGTTAAGGATGTCAAGAGTGTTAAGCACATGACATCACAGTGCTGCAGAATGACTGTGAGTGACACTGCTGCATTTTTTGACATCAGTCAAGGTTCAGCATACATCATCTATGATGTGCAACAGTACCGCAAAATGTTTACAAAGTGAGCGTTCCATCAGCTTACTACAGAAATGAAACAACAATGTACTGATGCTTATCAAGAACTTTTGTGGTGCCTTGAAGCAGAAGATAATGGTTTCCTACCAAAAATTATCAGAGGTGAAACCTGGGTTTACTACTACAAACCAGAAATGAAGAGTGCAAGAAAGGAATGGCTATATCCTTCCATGCTGTAACTAAAGAAGTTTTGCATGCATGCATCTGCAGGGAAGGCAATGCCGACTCTCCTTTGGGATGATTCAGGCATTATATTAGATCACTACATGTCAAGAAGGAAAACTGTCACCAGTGAAACACATACAGATCTTCCACCCGCAATCAAATCCAAACTATGTGGAATTCTGAGTAAAGGTGTCCCTTCTGCAACATAATGCTTAACCCATTGCAGCTCATGCAACTGTTGAAACCACCAATATCCTCCACTTTCAGTCAAAGATTCGTGCAACTGTTGAAACCACCAATATCCTCCACTTTCAGTCAAAGATTTGTGCAACTGTTGAAACCACCAATATCCTCCACTTTCAGTCAAAGATTCGTGCAACTGTTGAAACCACCAATATCCTCCACTTTCAGTCAAAGATTCGTGCAACTGTTGAAACCACCAATATCCTCCACTTTCAGTCAAAGATTCGTGCAACTGTTGAAACCACCAATATCCTCCACTTTCAGTCAAAGATTCGTGCAACTGTTGAAACCACCAATATCCTCCACTTTCAGTCAAAGATTCGTGCAACTGTTGAAACCACCAATATCCTCCACTTTCAGTCAAAGATTTGTGCAACTGTTGAAACCACCAATATCCTCCACTTTCAGTCAAAGATTTGTGCAACTGTTGAAACCACCAATATCCTCCACTTTCAGTCAAAGATTCGTGCAACTGTTGAAACCACCAATATCCTCCACTTTCAGTCAAAGATTTGTGCAACTGTTGAAACCACCAATATCCTCCACTTTCAGTCAAAGATTCGTGCAACTGTTGAAACCACCAATATCCTCCACTTTCAGTCAAAGATTCGTGCAACTGTTGAAACCACCAATATCCTCCACTTTCAGTCAAAGATTCGTGCAACTGTTGAAACCACCAATATCCTCCACTTTCAGTCAAAGATTTGTGCAACTGTTGAAACCACCAATATCCTCCACTTTCAGTCAAAGATTCGTGCAACTGTTGAAACCACCAATATCCTCCACTTTCAGTCAAAGATTTGTGCAACTGTTGAAACCACCAATATCCTCCACTTTCAGTCAAAGATTCGTGCAACTGTTGAAACCACCAATATCCTCCACTTTCAGTCAAAGATTTGTGCAACTGTTGAAACCACCAATATCCTCCACTTTCAGTCAAAGATTTGTGCAACTGTTGAAACCACCAATATCCTCCACTTTCAGTCAAAGATTCGTGCAACTGTTGAAACCACCAATATCCTCCACTTTCAGTCAAAGATTTGTGCAACTGTTGAAACCACCAATATCCTCCACTTTCAGTCAAAGATTTGTGCAACTGTTGAAACCACCAATATCCTCCACTTTCAGTCAAAGATTTGTGCAACTGTTGAAACCACCAATATCCTCCACTTTCAGTCAAAGATTTGTGCAACTGTTGAAACCACCAATATCCTCCACTTTCAGTCAAAGATTTGTGCAACTGTTGAAACCACCAATATCCTCCACTTTCAGTCAAAGATTTGTGCAACTGTTGAAACCACCAATATCCTCCACTTTCAGTCAAAGATTTGTGCAACTGAATTACAGTTAAAAAATTGGGTCATGAATATAACTATATACTATGATTATTTCTTTTCTGATCCGGCAGTTTCTGCAGCCTGCTTTGTTCAAAATGTACTGGTGTTACCTTTCCTTTGAATTAAACAAGGCAGGCTGAGAGAGGGATAATGATGCATGAGCAACATATGGTCTCTACAATACTGCCCAGGCTTGGTGCTATGGAGAGGAGGAACTTCAATCTCATGTCTCCTCATAGCACAATATAACACTACCATATGGAAAGAAGGAAAGGTGCCAACAATGATAATTTAAACAAAAAACAAAACAACATACGCCCAGACAAGTATGAAAAACTAAATAAGAGATAACTATAGACATAAAACAATCATCAACAACTATGTTTATGGGGCAGCACATGACGATACTAGAGCGTACTGAGCTCATGGAACTGTGCAGGTGCCTAGGAACTGTGCAAGTGTCTAGGAACTGTGTAAGTGTTTAGGAACTGTGCAAGTGTCTAGGAACTGTGCAAGTGTCTACGAACTGTGCAAGTGTCTAGGAACTGTGCAAGTGTCTAGGAACTGTGCAAGTGTCTAGGAACTGTGCAAGTGTCTAGGAACTGTGCAAGTGTCTAGGAACTGTGCAGGTGTCTAGGAACTGTGCAAGTGTCTACGAACTGTGCAGGTGTCTAGGAACTGTGCAAGTGTCTAGGAACTGTGCAGGTGTCTAGGAACTGTGCAGGTGTCTAGGAACTGTGCAAGTGTCTAGGAACTGTGCAAGTGTCTAGGAACTGTGCAAGTGTCTAGGAACTGTGCAAGTGTCTAGGAACTGTGCAAGTGTCTAGGAACTGTGCAAGTGTCTAGGAACTGTGCAAGAGTCTAGGAACTGTGCAAGTGACTAGGAACTGTGCAAGTGTCTAGGAACTGTGCAAGTGTCTAGGAACTGTGCAAGTGTCTATGAACTGTGCAAGTGTCTAAGAACTGTGCAAGTGTCTAGGAACTGTGCAAGTGTTGAATAAGTCAAACCATTCTCTGCTTACATGTAATGAAGCCTGCTGTGACTGCCGCAGTTCCGTCTGTCGAATGTGGATTGTTTCATCTTTGTACTGTATGGCAGCATCCAGGGCTTCTATGGCTTCATCCATTTCTATCAGTCTGAAACACAATCATGTATAAATGTGTATACATTTTCTGGTCAGTAAGATTAACTACTGTAAGATACATCATCATTTTATTAGTCCTAGTCTAAGTCGAGGTTTCAGCTTCACTGCAATCGGGTCACTTCATATCTGCTCTATTTCCTGTGCCAGTGCAAATCAAATGAAATGTCCCTTACTGTCCCATTTGAAAAATTGCTGAACAAACAATTAGTCCCGGTACAATCCAGAAATATGCACATGCAGTAAATGCATATGGCAGTTTCTAGAGGTGCCAAAGCCAACAGTCACCACCAGAAATGCAGTTTGTCATTGATGGAAGTAGTCAGGCATCGTAAGTTGGCTATACACACGTTGAATTATTACATAAGGTATTTCACCAGCCCATTAGTAAACCAGCTACTGGCCATATTGAAAATAATGACTTAGCTGCTGCATAAATAAAAATAATTCCCTATGAAACAACACAGCTCATAGGGCTGCACCAAGCACTAAACTCTGTAGCTCAAGCAGCAAAACCATGGAAACTGCAGTAGCAAAGTGCTGTTGAAAGTAAAAATAACTTTGAAGCTTAAAAGTTTGCCATTTCTAATCCTCCATTTTATCCAGAAGTGGATATAAATCATATCATCATCATACACCTTGTTAGATGGTGAAGGCACTTTGTGATGGGCCAAAAGGTGAAGATATCACAGCTCAGCAGTAAACACATTGTGTTTACCAACCTGTGAGGGGCGAATGCAGATGAAGAAGCTGCAGCTTGCCTTTCTGCACAACCTTTTATCATTATCATCATCATCACCATCATCATTCATTTTTATCATCATGATCAATCATCATCATGTAAAAAAAGTAAAGATCCCCTTTCAGGCCTTTAGGCATAATAGGCATATGGGAAGAGCACCCATATTTTTACAGACCAATCGGCACTACGTGGGTAATGTGGTCAGCATTTTGCCAGCCGTCTTTTCTTCTCTAGCACGCACATCCTGGTACCCATTTAAGGCTGGGTCGACCTGCGACGCCCCTACCTTGATAAAAATCCATGCAACAAGTAGTGGGTTTCGATCGCGGTATGTTGGAATTACGAGTCGGACTGGCAATGCGTAAGCCATGGCCACTGCCATCATCATGTAGCTGGCCAAATTGCAATACTTCCCTCTCTAATGGCACACCAGAAAGCCATCTGATGCCTTGCCAACTTTAGTTAGTTAGTTATTCCTCTTGTGCCAAAGATGGCGCATAGGGCAGAGGTCATAGCTTTCCACGTCTGTCGGTTCGTTGCCACTTGATGTAGGTCTTGAGTGCGACTGAGACCTATGGTTGAGCTCTCCCTTGTGATGGTTCTACGGAGAGTTTCTTTTGGTCTTCCCTGTTTTCTTTTACCCTCTGGTGACCATATGAAGGCTTGGTGGGGAAGTCTCTGTATGTCCATTCTGAGTACGTGACCGATGTAATTCCAGCGACGCATTCTAATAAAATCAGACATATATTTTTGTTTTGTTTCCTGTCTTATAGATGTATTGGACCTAAAGTCCGACCAGTGAACATTCAATAGCTTTCGGAGGCATCTATTCTCGAAAGCGACTAGTTTCTTATCGATTGATACTGATGATTTCCAACTCTCACAACCATAAGTTAGCACTGGGATCACACAGGAATTGAAGACCTTAAGTTTCGTGTTGTTGCTGAGTGATCTTGACTTCCAAATGTTTGACAGTTTGTTAAAGGCACTTGATGCTAACGCGATTCGAGTCGTTATTTCTGATGTTGTATCTCCCGCAGAGGTTATCATGCTCCCTAAGTATTGCCAACTTTACAACCTCACAATTTTGTTATGTCCTGGGAGTCATTGACATACTGTGTCCACCAACGTGCTGGATAACTCCTGCCTCCTCTCACAGGAATCACATAAATCTTCGATTACTTTTCTTTTGTGTGCAAACACTTTGATATCATCAATGCAATCCAACACCTTTAGCCTCTCTCATCTTAAGAGTTTCTCTTGGCCATTCTTATTTTCTGATTCCATTTGTTCACTGTTTCAGTGCTTATTTGGTAATACTTAACCACTGGAAAATACATAACTTAGTTACCTAGCTACTTCCAGACATTATTACATACTGTATTAACAATGTCTGTTGCTCTCTCACCTTCTCTCTTCTTCAACTGTTAGAACTTTTCCCTCATGCAGTTTTTCATCCAAAGCAGACCTTTTCTTGTTAAGCTTGTCTCTGGTCTGCCGAAGTTTGTGGATTTCTTCCTTCACCTGAGATCTTCTCTCATCTCCTGCTTCTGGCAGTTCTAGTTTCTTCTCTTCCAACTTTTTCTCCACAGAATCCAACTTGCTAGATAACGTCAGTAAACTCTGAGGAAATCAATTAAAAATAATGTTTGTAAATATGGTGAACATCATGACTGGCGAGTCTGCTGGGAAGCTGCTTTCAAAAGTGCCTTTGTGCAATAACACTAGTGCTCTGTCTGAATTTACTTCCGCAGAAGAACAAAATCTTATCGAGTTGTATTGCGATATCAGTTTGAAAATTTGACAGAATTTTGGATTTTAATAAAAGATGAATATATTCCCTTCAAAGTGATAATGCTCACTCGATTTGAATTCCATTTTCGACATCGTAGTTGTGCGAAGCTGGGTTTTCAGCGGTCACTGTAAGAAAAAGCAAGGATAGATCAAAAATCAATGTGTAAAAGGAAATGGGGGTGGCCATGTCCAGTCTGATTCCACGATTTAAGAAAATGTGCAGTTATTTACAGGCTCATCTATCAAAGTATTTGGTAATTTAATGTTAATGAAGAAAAAAATAAAAAATATACATGCGTTTTATTTGTTTTTATTGTTTACTGATGAATAGTTTCAATTTTACTTAGGTTAGGGCGCCGCGGAACAATTTTACTTAGGTTAGGGCGCCGCGGAACAATTTTACTTAGGTTAGGGCGCCGCGGAACAATTTTACTTAGGTTACGGCGCCGCGGAACAATTTTACTTAGGTTAGGGTGCCGCGGAAAAATTTTACTTAGGTTAGGAGGCGCGGAAAAATTTTACTTGAAAAAAGGTGCCGCGACTAAAAACAAGTTTGGGACACACTGATGTAAGGTAATAAAACAAATTTAAAGTCAGAGAGAGCATACATATGTGTGCAGTTGCTCCCAAATCGCTGTTTTCAGTTGTAAAACATACAGAACTTGCCTAATCCACAACTGTCTTTTATAAAATGATGAATATGAGAAGAGGGGTGGTTAGGAAAAGAATTCTGAACATAGAGCATGTTGTGACGACTGGAAAGATCCCTGGAAAAATAGACAGAGGAAAGCAGCTTGAGAAGATTCTTGACGGCATTTTGTCATGGCATGGAAGGGTGTCAGCACAGGAAGTGATACAGGCAACTGCAGATTGTGTAGAGGAATGATTGCACTTGATGTTGAATGTTGAATTAAGAATCGAAATCACAGCATTCGGGATACTCCCATAAGTGCTCAGTCCCCATCTTCAGCAACTTGATGATGGTACCAGTAATCAGTACTAACTGTTCTCTATTAATACTGATGTACCCACTTTTGCCAACAGCTTCTGGTGAAGCATAACATTTGAGAAGGATACTAGCATTATCCAAGGACGAGGAAATGTGACCTGAAAACTTAAGGCCATTAGCCTTGTTTGGCAGCAAACTGAGTAGGCAAGGCTCCAACACTGATCTTCTGATCTAACACCTGAGAGGCAAGGAACCAACAGTCTGCATATAAACAAGCCTGATCTGTAAAGCAGATGTGCACATAAAACACTCAAGTTCTAAATCAAGGCCAAAGTCCAGGAGTAGTCAAACAACCAGAACAGTTTACAGCCAGTGAATGCTCAGAAGAAGCCCCCAACAACATTAGTGAATGTACATGACACAGTATTCCCACAGCTGAGTGCACTGGTGAGCACAGACAGACGTTAAGGATATCAATAATGATACATCTATTATGACATCCTCATTGCTGGGAAACAAGCAGGCAGATAGACTGGTCGGTTCTGCACCACCTGGTGGTGAATTGCTGTATGACAAGCTAGATGTTTTGAGGGCCCTTTGAGAGTGAATGAACAGTATGGAGGCACAAATAGATCATTATAGTCTGAGGGGAATGGCGCTGCGAGGAGTTACCAGGGGACCAGCTGACGCTCAACACTAAAGGGAAAGGTGAGATGGATACATAGTCATACATTTACTGGTGCCATCGGAATTAGAACTCTTTGTTTGCTGCTGAAGATGGGAACAGAACACTTATGGGAGTGTCTCAAGTGCTGTGATGATGATTATTAATTCAACATTCAACAACATCATGACACCCCAAGACCCACATCCAGGGTTACAGGATACATCAGTAATGAAGAGGGATGCTTTAACTTTATGTCAGCTTACCTTACTTAGTTCCTGACTTGACCTCATTTTTTTCATCTGCAGTTCACTCTTCTCTGCAAGGATTGCTTCCTTCTTGGCAATAATGGCTTCCTTCTTTCTCAGCTCCTGCAGCAGACGCAGCCAGAAACATTCACATCAATAACAGAAACATTCACATCAATAACAGAAACATTCACATCAATAACAGAAACATTCACATCAATAACAGAAACATTCACATCAATAACAGAAACCTTCACATAAATAACAGAAACCTTCACATCAATAACAGAAACCTTCACATCAAAAACAGAAACCATATTTCCCCCACTTAAATGGTTCTTGATTTCAAACTTTTAAGGGTACCCATGGATACCTCCATATTGCCCAGTTGCCATTTCAGTGGGTCAGACGATATGTACATGTGAAATAAAACATCTAATCTGAAACAAATACCACTGATCACTGGCATCGTGAGAGCTAATAGGCTGAAATGGTTGGGGCATATTGAAATAATGTCAAATGACAGAGAAGTAAAAACGGTATACATCAGGGAGATGAATGGTCGTAGACCACGAGACAGACCAAGAAGACGATGGAAAGATAATATCCAGACAGACCTGCAAACACTTGGTGTTACCAACTGGAAAGAGAAGGCCAACCAGAGAGATGAATGGAGGCGGGTGATACCTGCAGCAATGAACCTCAAGGGCTCGGAATGCTGAAGAAGAAGAAGAAGAATCTGAAACAAATGCAGAAATATCTGAGTAAGCTGTTATAATCTGACGGAAAAAAATCAAAGATGGTTGCATTCAGATAAGAAGAATATCTTGATCTGTGGCAAATGACAAAAACAGTTGAAGAAAATTTGCTAAGCTTTAAACATAGTTCATCACATTTCCCTTGGGGACAATGAGTTTTTGGGTCAACACCAAACAAACACAGTTCTATGAAAACAATCAAACATTGTTTTGGATAAACTGGGAACAAAAACGGGGATGTTGACAGAAAAAAAAAATAGATATTAAATTAATAATAGACCATTTTAATAGACATAACACTCTTTAAAAAACCACACTGCAGATAACAGTTTAAGTCAGGTGAGCAAAAGACAGACTCGAGACAAGTGGGAAGATAAGATCCAGGTTGAGAAGCAGTTTCAAGAAGTATACTACCAGGGTGAGAGACAGAGAATGTTGATCTAACTGTAGCCAACTTATGTGTGGAGACAAAACAATGATGATTTCAATACAGGCTAGGATATAACAGAGACATTGGCATCAGAAGAAAACAAACAACGCTGCATTCTAAAATAAAAATAAAAAAGATAAATAGGCAGCAGTTCACTAACTAGATTGTCAGAGGAAAAAAGCAGAGGTCAGCACAAACAAAAATAAACACTGGCCACTTTGATATTGATAATGAAAGGCAGCAACAACAGACTAAATAAACAGCATAAACATGAAAAGTTCAGCAGACTGTTTTCTGTTAACACTAACAAAATAAACATTATATTAAGTATAAGTTTTGCCAAATGTGGAGTTCTCTAGGAAAAACAGTTAAAAGTAGATGACTGTATGAACACAAAAGATCAAACACTAACCCGCTCCAATTCTTCATTCTGACGTCGCTGCTCCAGTACCTTTTCAATTTCACCATCCACCCATTTCCTTTGTTCTTCTAATTTATCTTGCTCTTCACTAAGTGAATGAAACAAACAAAATGCACAAATAAGTAAGTGTTATGCTATTTACTGCTCATCCACCAAGTGTTTTTATTATGCTGGGGAAGTTGCATCCTTTGACATCTTCTTCTTCTTCTTCTTCAGCATTCTGAACATTAAAGGTTCACTGCTGCAGATATCACCCAGAGTTATGTACTGTAATCAAGAAATCATATCAATTATCTATCATCACCATCAAAAAGTCATCCCTGTCAGAAAATAATTATCTAGGATAAACATATAATAAAATTTGTCACAAAGGAGTTGTCTATTATCATTACCCAGAAGTGAGGTGTGTTACAAAGGAATTAATCTATCATCATATTCAAGAAGTCAAGTCTGTCACAAATGAATGATCTATCATCAAATTCAAGATTTTCCCAATCTATTATTATCTATGATAATTATAGTTTGTCAGACTGTGATGAAGAAATTAAATACCTTATAATAGGCGGCAAGACACCAGAAGTTGATCTCAGACGTCTTTTTGCAGACATAAGTTCCTCTGTCTTCCTTTTCAAAACTTTCTGTGTTTGCTCATCTCTGATTTCCAAATCCTTCACTCGCTGAACTTCCTTCTGCATTTCTTTCTGCTTGTTCAGAAAAATGATCACAATTATTGTTAGTGTTAAAATATAACATTATTAATTGGTTGGTTTTAGCATAGTAAGTTAATTTACAAACATACCACTATTTAAAGGGAAGCCATGTTATGTCAGGGTTAAAGTTTCCAAATCAGGAGCTTATTATCAGTAGTGGCAAAATAACTGACCATTACATCCCTCTGGGATATTGAGGGTGGGGGGAGGGGTGGGGGGTGACTTGAAGGTCATAAGGTTCAAAGGTATCAGGGTGGATTTGAACATTTTTTTTTAACAATTATTGATGAAGCTGATCATGACACAAAAAAATACATCCTTGAAAAGCTGGACTGGATGAAAATATTAGGGAATTGAAGCTGACTTGTTTCTACTGAGGTCATTATTAGTGAGCAAACTGGAAATGAGGAGCAGGAGGAGAAAGAGGAGGAATGTCCACTGATACTGACCTCTAATTTAGCTTTTTGATCCATTTCTTCTTTCAGCTTTTTGTGCAGATTCTCCTGTTGCTGTTTCATTCTCTCCACTGCTGTTTCCAAATCCTGGATCCTGAAATTTTACACAGGACACAAAATAAAAGATACTTTTTTTGGCAAATACAAGAACTGAAAGGGTGAAGTTTGATGCAAAGAACAGACTTGCTTATAACTCAGTCAGGTGCCATTTCCACAATGATGGTTGGCTGTAAAAGATCTCTAAGACACACACACTCTCTCTCTCTCTCTCTCTCTCTCTCTCTCTCTCTCTTTCTCTCTCTCTCTCTCTCTCTCTGACCCTGGTTGTTTACTCTCGAAGACTTCTTTTTATCCACCTGTTTATATTGTTCTCACATTGTTATCACTGTCTGCTGCCTACTCTCCTGTCTTCAAACCTTTTCTTCAGAGTCGCTTTAGATAAAAGTCTTTAAATAAGGTCAAAATATTTCACTGATCTCTTCTTTATTTATGTCTACAACTCTCTTTCTGCTTGTGCTCTTTTCTGATTCTTTGTATTTAAATGTTCTATTTTCTGGAAATATTACGAACTGTATTCAAATGTTTAATTTTTCCTGAAATATAGCCAACTGTATTCAAGTGTTTTGTTTTCCTGAAATATTACCAACTGTATTCAAGTGTTTTGTTTTCCTGAAATATTACCAACTGTATTCAAGTGTTTTGTTTTCCTGAAATATTACCAACTGTATTCAAGTGTTTTGTTTTCCTGAAATATTACCAACTGTATTCAAATGTTTTGTTTTCCTGAAATATTAACAACTGTATTAAAGTGTTTTGTTTTCCTGAAATATTACCAGCTGTATTCAAATGTTTTATTTTCCTAAAAATTACCAACTGTATTCAAATGTTTTGTTTTCTTAAAATATTACCAACTGCATTCAAGTGGGTTTTTTCCCTGAAATAAAACCAACTTCCTTTTACATCTACAGAGTCTTAATTCAAACTTCTATCCGCCTTTTCAAAGTCCAGGTTTGTGCATCATATACTACGGCTGAGTAAACAAATTTGACAATTCTCATTTTTTAAAGTGTGTTTACCTCTCTAGATGTTAATTTAAAAAAAAGTCTTTTAATTTTTCCCTAATGTGGGACACAAATGAATTAAAAGGAGGATGGCCATAGCAATGCAAAGATTAAACAGCCTAAAAAGCTAAAAAGTCTATGGGTAGATCAAAATTAGATTTTTGAGAGCATGCATTTTTCCTGTAGCAACATACGGATGTGAGTCGTGGACTATCTCCCAGTCCATAAGAAAAGAGAATAAGGGCTTTTGAGCTGAAATGCTATAGAAAGATTCTCAGAATATCTTGGACGAAAAAGAGGAGAAATACTGACATCTTGAAAGGAAGATTGGCTAATAAACAGCATCCTGTCTCGGAAGCTGAAATATTTTGGTCCTATCAAGTGCCACGACGGATTGGAAACAATTATAGCAGAAGGCATAGTAGCAGGAAGGAGGGGCAGGGGCCGATCGACACGAAGATGGGCACAGAATATAGGTGACTCCTTGAATGTGAAAGTACATGAGGCAGGAGAACTGGCGAGAGACCAAGTTTCTTTCAGGCAGACTGTGATGAGAGCGACGTTCTGCAAAGGACCTGCTACATGATGATGATAGGACACAATTAATTATTTTTTTAAATTTTAAAGCCCCACAACGGCTGTTGTCAGGGGCCTTAATATAACCTAACAGTTGAATGAGGTATCTGGGACTTGTGCCCTGGTGATTCTCACCCAAACGGTAGTACTTTGTGTCACTGAGTATTTAACGCGCATTGTGCGGTCCTGGTAGGGTCGAATGTCACCCACTCATGTTAATCAATTTAAAATGTTTTGAAAATATTTTTGGGTTATTTATGGTTTATTATTCATATCAACACTTTACATTCTGGCTTTTGAAGTCAGATCCGGGCAAACTGTTAGCAGATCCTATTGTGACAATTTTCACAACAGTTTGTATGACTGGGGCATGCTGAAAGAATGTCAGATGACAGAGAAGTAAAAACTGTATACACCAGGCAGATGAATGGTTGTAGACCACGAGGCAGACCAAGAAGACCATGAAGAGATAATGTCCAGGCAGACCTACAAACACTTGGTGTCACCAACTGGAAAGACAAGGCCAACCAGAGAGATGAATGGAGGCGAGTGATATCTGCATCAATGAACCTCAAGGGCTTGAAATGCTGAAGAATAAGAAAAAGATGTGGGTCACTGTGGAAAGCAAGGGAAGACTATCACATTATAAATCCTATAAACTCCAACGATGCTGAGGCAGACCTGCAAGGAGGTGAATACAAGACACTGAAGATGCACTGGCTATTACCATACAAAGGGCTGGAGAATTAGCTGGACAAAGAGACTTTCAGACGTACCGTAATAACAGGAATTGTTTTTTAAAAACCTGTGTTTCAACTTTCAAAAAGCATTGGCTAACTAATGAACATAAAAGTGTCCAGTTAAAAAAAATAAAAAACTACAAACAATAAACAAGTAACAAACACTAGAGCTGGTTAGCAAGTTTGAAGTTTTCAACAACGAATCAACATGGGTGTAACCTATAAGTACTCTGTTCTTCTTCTAACTCAAGTCTGAGTCCAAAGAAGCTCAGCACAGTGCACAGGCTCGGTCGCACCGGTGAGAATCCTGAAATACTTTCGGTAGATTTTCAACTCCAAATTTTGCCCGGGCAGCGCGGTTACGTTACTCTTTTCGATTTCCAACTGCCAAAGGGATTTTTTATGTGCACAGCAATGCACACGGGCATCCTGTCTCACTATCCAGAGACCAGGGAGAAAAGTCCATGTAAAAAAATCCCAGCCTTTACTGGGGATTGAAACCGGAACCTCTGGCACTCAAGGCGGACACCATGCCTTGAGACCATGCAGCCCCACTAATTGGTTAGCAATGCCTGGTAAAGAATATTGAATGTTGAATTAAGAATTGACATCAAAGAACACCGGAGACCCCCATAAGTGCTTCGTCCCCATTTTCAGCAGCAAGCAAAATTTAAATTCCGATGGTATGCCTGGTAAAGGATATGCAGCAAACTGTCCTGGTATAACTTATGAACAACTACAGCAGATCTTAAACTATTTGTGCTTACTTTTTTTCGTGCTGATAAGCAAAACTGGCAACTCTCTCAGTGTCCCTCTGTCTCTTCTGCAAAGCTGACACTTTAGCTTTGGCTTCCTCAATCTTTCTCTTGTAATCCCTGAGTATTACAGAACAGGAAATGTGTTTTTGTTGTTGAAAGTGTATACAATCCGGCCATAGTCTGTAATACACATCACAACAAAAACACAAGCAGACTGCACAGTTTACTGCCTGACATATTTGGCTTATCTTGTCAGGTGCTTAACTCTTTGAGTCCCAGAGGGTTTAGCATCACAGGCCTAAGGGGTAGTCAAGAGAGACGTAGAATCCGCACATTATGCGTTCATTGGGCTTCTAGGCAGTAACCTGTGAATGTATGATGCCTCCCTAGGGACTCAAAGAGTTAAAGCAAAGACTCACTTTCTTGAAATTGATACACACGGCATACTGTGATAGACCTATATTCTAACAGACTGAGTCGCATTCGATGATGTTCCCAACATCACGGCAGCTGCCTTTACTTCCCATGACATTTCCTGGCCCCCATTTTAAAATTGCGTTGACTTGGGAACCAAATCAGTTATAAAATACTGATTTAATGCACATTCAAACCCAAGACCTTCTGGTGGACAGGCAAGCCTCCAATCACTGCGCCACCACCTCATGTGGAAAAAAAGCCAGAAAATAAATTGTGCAGCCTGTTTGTGTCTTCTTTGTTGAAATTTAAATATGTGTTTGTTGCAAAAGAAGAATGTTTTAAACATAAGATCAGAAATATCGAAATAAAGATGATATAATTTAAAAAAAAAAGAATAAGATAAACGCAACGTACACTGATAGTTTGCAACATACTTACACTGCAATATTAAATACAAATTTAAAAAGTATCACAACTAAAATAGAAAATAAACAGACTGAAGATTCAAGGATGGTCAAATGAAACCCTAAAATAAAGGTTGATGAGAGAGGTCAAAGATTCTGAACTGGACTATCTATCCTCTTCATGTCAGTGTTGACACATAAGGCATTCACAAGTGATCTCCACTGCTGCCAGTCTGCTGCTTTTCTGCCCATGGTATTCTATGTCAGGTTACATTCCTTCATTTGAGTTTCTATTGTCCTTCTCCAAGTTTCCTAAGGTCATCCTTTTCCCATCTGCTGTCCACCGGAGAGCTGTTTTTGCCAGAGTGTTACAAGGCATTCTGCAAACATGCCCAAGCCATCTCCATCGTTTTACTTTGATAACATTTGCCAGTGATGCACATTCTGTTTTCCTCCTCAGTTCTTCATTTGCGATCTTGTTCCTGGACTAGACTGCATCCATGATACAGAACTGATTGCACAGGACATAAGGGAATGAGTCGGTGGGTGGGGTGGAGGGAGTGAGGGGAGGATGTGGGGGTGGGGGGGGTGGGGGGTAAAGACGGTGGAGACTGTGAGCTTCATGTGATATATAATGGCACAACAGGACACAAGGGAATGGGTCAGTGGGTGGGGTGGAGAGAGTGAGGGGGGGATGTGGGGGGGGGGGGGGGTAAAGACGGTGGAGACTGTGAGCTTCATGTGATATATAATGGCACAACAGGACAATGATGTTTATGATGCTGATGAAACAAGAATCATACCAATAGTAACGACTTTATAAACAACAATGTTTATATGACAACATTTCAACATTATTAAACTATAATTTTCAGTCTCTACACACTGAGAGACATCCAGAAAATTGGATTCAAGTGCTTATGGAGTTGTCCTATGAAGTAAAAGTTACAGTAAAGATCCCTCTTCATGCCTAAAGGCGCATCAGGAATATGCGAAGAGCACCCTGTTTGTATAGACCAATTGCCACTATGTGGGTAATGTGTTCAGCATTACACCAGCCGTCTTTACTTCCCCAGGACATACATCCTGGTACTTATTTTAGGCTAGGTCAACCTGCAACGCCCCATACCATGTTAAAAATCCACGCAGCCAGCAGTGGGTTTCGATCACGGTACGTCGGAATTACGAGTTGGACTCACAATGCCTAAGCCATGGTCACCGCTACTTGTCCTATGAGCAATGAGGATAATCTTTCAATTTACTAACTAACATTAAAAACTAAACTATACACGAGATGCTTTGTACAGCGACAGCCAACAAACGATACAGTCTAATAATGATGATGGTGAACAATTATTTTAATGAAAAACAAATAAAGATTAGCGTATGTTGTCAAAATGAGGATGACTTCCTTTACAAATCACCACACTAAAAATCGCTTGGCTAATTCCAACATAAAAATCCCTTTACAAATCCTAATAGCAATACAAAAATCTCTTTACTAACATTTCCAGTTTCTGTATAACTGAAATCTCCATTTTGTCTTTTGTCTCCAGTTGTTGCAGTGCCCTCTGTACATCTCTTAGGTCTTTCTTGGCTGCTTCTTTTTCCTGGAGCACAGAAGTTGAAGCAAACAAATATATTCATTATATAAACAATAAGCAAGGGTGCAGGTAAACCCATGACAGACACTACCAGTGGACTGTCTGAACAAGGTGTAGGTAAACCCATGACAGACACTACCAGTGGACTGTCTGAACAAGGCGGAGGTAAACCCATGACAGACACTAACAGTGGACTGTCTGAACAAGGTGTAGGTAAACCCATGACAGACACTACCAGTGGACTGTCTGAACAAGGTACAGGTAAACCCATGACAGACACTACCAGTGGACTGTCTGAACAAGGTGGAGGTAAACCCATGACAGACACTACCAGTGAACTGTCTACAGTGAACAAGGTGTAGGTAAACCCATGACAGACACTACCAGTGGACTGTCTGAACAAGGTGTAGGTAAACCCATGACAGACACTACCAGTGGACTGTCTGACAAGGTGCATTCCTCATGACAGACACTACCAGTGGACTGTCTGAACAAGGTGCAGGTAAACTCATGACACTACAGTGAACACTCATGAACTTACCAAGTGAACTGTCTGAACAAGGTGTAGGTAAACTCATGACAGACACTAACAGTGGACTGTCTGAACAAGGTGCAGGTAAACCCATGACAGACACTACCAGTGGACTGTCTGAACAAGGTGCAGGTAAACCCATGACAGACACTACCAGTGGACTGTCTGAACAAGGTGTAGGTAAACCCATGACAGACACTACCAGTGGACTGTCTGAACAAGGTGTAGGTAAACTCATGACAGACACTGACAGTGAACTGTCTGAACAAGGTGTAGGTAAACCTCATGACAGACACTACCAGTGGACTGTCTGAACAAGGTGTAGGTAAACTCATGACAGACACTAACAGTGGACTGTCTGAACAAGGTGTAGGTAAACTCATGACAGACACTACCAGTGGACTGTCTGAACAAGGTGTAGGTAAACTCATGACAGACACTACTGTCTGACCAGTGGGTACTGTTTGAACAAGGTGCAAGGTAAAAACCCATGACAGACACTACCAGTGGACTGTCTGAACAAGGTGCAGGTAAACCATGACAGACACTACCAGTGGACTGTCTGAACAAGGTGTAGGTAAACTCATGACAGACACTACCAGTGGACTGTCTGAACAAGGTGCAGGTAAACTCATGACAGACACTACAGTGGACTGTCTGAACAAGGTGCAGGTAAACTCATGACAGACACTAACAGTGGACTGTCTGAACAAGGTGTAGGTAAACCCATGACAGACAGTGGGACTGTCTGAACAAGGTGTACTGTCTGACACCAGTGTGTCTGAACAGGTGCAGGTAAACTCATGACAGACACTAACAGTGGAACTGTCTGAACAAGGTGCAAGTAAACTCATGACAGACAGTGGACAACAAGGTGCAGGTAAACCCATGACAGACACTACCATGGACTGTTGACTGTCTGAACAAGGTGTAGGTAAACTCATGACAGACACTACCAGTGGACTGTCTGAACAAGGTGTAGGTAAACTCATGACAGACACTAACAGTGGACTGTCTGAACAAGGTGTAGGTAAACCATGACAGACACTAACACTGTCTGATGACATGACACTAACAGTGGACTGTCTGAACAAGGTGCAGGTAAACTCATGACAGACACTAACCAGTGGAACTGTCTGACACACAAGTGTGTAGGTAAACCCATGACAGACACTACCAGTGGACTGTCTGAACAAGGTGTAGGTAAACCCATGACAGACACTACCAGTGGACTGTCTGAACAAGGTGTAGGTAAACCCATGACAGACACTACCAGTGGACTGTCTGAACAAGGTGTAGGTAAACCCATGACAGACACTACCAGTGGACTGTCTGAACAAGGTGTAGGTAAACCCATGACAGACACTACCAGTGGACTGTCTGAACAAGGTGCAGGTAAACTCATGACAGACACTACCAGTGGACTGTCTGAACAAGGTGTAGGTAAACCCATGACAGACACTACCAGTGGACTGTCTGAACAAGGTGTAGGTAAACTCATGACAGACACTACCAGTGGACTGTCTGAACAAGGTGTAGGTAAACCCATGACAGACACTACCAGTGGACTGTCTGAACAAGGTGCAGGTAAACCCATGACAGACACTACCAGTGGACTGTCTGAACAAGGTGCAGGTAAACCCATGACAGACACTACCAGTGGACTGTCTGAACAAGGTGTAGGTAAACTCATGACAGACACTACCAGTGGACTGTCTGAACACAAGTGGACTGTCTGAGGTGTAAACCCATGACAGACACTACCAGTGGACTGTCTGAACAAGGTGCAGGTAAACCCATGACAGACACTACCAGTGAACTGTCTGAACAAGGTGTAGGTAAACTCATGACAGACACTACCAGTGGACTGTCTGAACAAGGTGTAGGTAAACTCATGACAGACACTACCAGTGAACTGTCTGAACAAGGTACAGGTAAACCCATGACAGACACTACCAGTGGACTGTCTGAACAAGGTGTAGGTAAACCCATGACAGACACTACCAGTGGACTGTCTGAACAAGGTGTAGGTAAACCCATGACAGACACTACCAGTGGACTGTCTGAACCAGGTGCAGGTAAACCCATGACAGATACTACCAGTGGACTGTCTGAACCAGGTGCAGGTAAACCCATGACAGACACTACTAGTGGACTGTCTGAACAAGGTGCAGGTAAACCCATGACAGACACTACCAGTGGACTGTCTTAACCAGGTGCAGGTAAACCCATGACAGACACTACCAGTGGACTGTCTGAACAAGGTGCAGGTAAACCTAAGACAGACACTACTAGTGGACTGTCTGAACAAGGTGTAGGTAAACTTATGACAGACACTACCAGTGCACTGTCTGAACAAGGTGTAGGTAAACTCATGACAGACACTACCAGTGGACTGTCTGAACAAGGTGGAGGTAAACCCATGACAGACACTGACAGTGGACTGTCTGAACAAGATTCAGATAAGCCCATGACAGACACTACCAGTGGACTGTCTGAACAAGGTGCAGATAAACCCATGACAGACACTACCAGTGGACTGTCTGAACAAGGTGCAGATAAACCCATGACAGACACTACCAGTGGACTGTCTGAACAAGGTGCAGATAAACCCATGACAGACACTACCAGTGAACTGTGTGAACAAGGTGCAAGTAAACCCATGACAGACACTACCAGTGAACTGTGTGAACAAGGTGCAGGTAAACCTAAGACAGACACTACCAGTGGACTGTCTGAACAAGGTACAAGTAAACCCATGACAGACACTACCAGTGGACTGTCTGAACAAGGTGCAGGTAAACCCATGACAGACACTGACAGTGAACTGTCTGAACAAGGTGCAGGTAAACTCATGACAGACACTGACAGTGAACTGTCTGAACAAGGTGCAGGTAAACCCATGACAGACACTACCAGTGAACTGTCTGAACAAGGTGCAGGTAAACCCATGACAGACACTACCAGTGGACTGTCTTAACCAGGTGCAGGTAAACCCATGACAGACACTACCAGTGGACTGTCTGAACAAGGTGTAGGTAAACCCATGACAGACACTACCAGTGGACTGTCTGAACAAGGTGCAGGTAAACCCATGACAGACACTACCAGTGGACTGTCTGAACAAGGTGTAGGTAAACCCATGACAGACACTACCAGTCAACTGGATCAGTGGGGTTCTCTTTGGTAATATCTCTCTGCTTTTTTATTTCTATTATTTGTTTAATGAATTATTCTTACAGTGCTGGAACATTCTAAACTAAACAGTTTGAAAACAATTCTAAATAATTCTAACATTTTTAGAATCAAGACATGATCTATTCACTGATTCAATACCAACCAATTCACCATGTGTTTGTTGGTTTCCCACCATGTGTTTGTTGGTTTCTCACCATGTGTTTCCTAGTTTCTCACCACACGTTTATTGTTTTCTCATCATGTGTATGTTTGATTCTCACCATGTGTTTATTGTTTTCTCACCATGTGTTTATTGTTTTCTCACCATGTGTTTATTGTTTTCTCATCATGTGTATGTTTGATTCTCACCATGTGTTTATTGTTTTCTCACCATGTGTTTATTGTTTTCTCATCATGTGTATGTTTGATTCTCACCATGTGTTTATTGTTTTCTCACCATGTGTTTCCTAGTTTCTCACCACACGTTTATTGTTTTCTCATCATGTGTATGTTTGATTCTCACCATGTGTTTATTGGTTTCTCACCATGTGTTTATTGGTTTCTCACCATGTGTTTATTGGTTTCTCACCATGTGTTTGTTGGTTTCTCACTATGTGTTTATTGGTTTCTCACCATGTGTTTATTGTTTTCTCACCATGTGTTTCTTAGTTTCTCACCATGTGTTTATTGTTTTCTCACCATGTGTTTATTTGTTTTCTCACCATGTGTTTATTGGTTTCTCACCATGTGTTTATTGTTTTCTCACCATGTGTTTATTGGTTTCTCACCATGTGTTTATGTGTTTATTGTTGGTTTCTCACCATGTGTTTATTGGTTTCTCACCATGTGTTTATTGGTTTCTCACCATGTGTTTATTGGTTTCTCACCATGTGTTTATTGGTTTTATCACCATGTGTTTATTGGTTTCTCACCATGTGTTTATTGGTTTCTCACCATGTGTTTATTGGTTTCTCACCATGTGTTTATTGGTTTTTCTCACCATGTGTTTATTGGTTTCTCACCATGTGTTTATTGGTTTCTCACCATGTGTTTATTGGTTTCTCACCATGTGTTTATTGGTTTCTCACCATGTGTTTATTGGTTTCTCACCATGTGTTTATTGGTTTCTCACCATGTGTTTATTGGTTTCTCACCATGTGTTTATTGGTTTCTCACCATGTGTTTATTGGTTTCTCACCATGTGTTTATTGGTTTCTCACCATGTGTTTATTGGTTTCTCACCATGTGTTTATTGGTTTCTCACCATGTGTTTATTGGTTTCTCACCATGTGTTTAT